ACATCTGAAATGACCGCCAGATTATTGCGACCTTTCAACATTGACGTAGCACACAAACCGGCACATAAACTTAGGTCATATTTCACAAAACACAAAGACAAAACTGCATCAAAACAAACAAAAAATGCTATATACATGATACCGTGCATAGACTGTCCACAACGATACATAGGTCAAACCTCGAAGAAAATTGAAACACGAATAACTGAACACAAAAACGCCATAAAACGATACGATAATAAATCACTACCACTGAGCTATACTATATTACTGGAGGACCTGCTCGGGATCAAAAAGTGTCGCCAAAAACATGGCGGATGTTACGCCATTTCCATGACAACACTTCCGAAATTTTCATGGTAACTGCCACTGACCAACCGCGATCCTAAGCTTTCGACGATGTCCTTAACCCCCCTGGTTTTTGGACAGAAACATTTTAAAATATTTCAAGTTTTCTGTTGTTTTTTATTTTGAGCTAAAAATCTTAATATTTCCCTCGAACATTACTTGTTTTACAACGCGGAGCGAGGGTGCGGGTTTGCTTCGCTTGTGGATGCAACATTTCACTACAAATAAAGACTAATTCTTTCAGGTAAGATTCACGAAACTTTTTTATAACTTTCTAGAGTCACTATAGACCCTTCATATTATGTCAAAAACTCATCATCCTAATATATACAGCAAATATTTCAATAGGGGACATATAAGTATTGTTAATGATTAAACATTGTGTGCATGAAATTATGTTGTTTTGTGTCAGCACTGGCCTTTGTGGTTTTATTGCCAGTTTTTAATTTATACTAAAAATTGTGGTTGTTTAATTAATTACATGTTCATATATTTTAAAACGTTTATTGAATATGGTGTGAAATTTATATACTTGCCCATCACAGTGCAGAATTAGTATATATAGATAAGCACAAGACCAGAGATAGTTGAGCCGTAGAGGAAGCTCACCTACATGTGACAATCCATGTGCCCTGTACTGATGAGCCCTAAAGACTGTCTTTATTATTTTATTCTGTCTAATGCCAGACGATCTTAAGGGGATTAAGACTAAATGAGACTGCTCCCTGCTGTCACACAGTGGGTTAATTACACTATTGGCAAATGAACAGCCCCTGGGATATATAGTCAGCCCATTAAGCTGCAATGAACCCTGGCTACTTTCTTATTTTACTCAATCTCACTGTGTGATGAAATCCAGATGTTTTACTCATCAAGGGAAGAGTCTTAAAAATAGATATTATTTTGCCATTGTCTGTTTAGAACTATGTAAAACTACTATATAGTTTTACACAGCTTGTTGGCGCAACAAAAATGTTGCCCACAAGCTGCCTGGATTTAAGTGAGTCACTAGTATGATCATGAAGTAAATTTGGAATGCTACAACATTTCTAACAAGGGCGGATTTTCATTTATTTAAAAAGACTGGTAGAAAAATTTCTGGTGGGTGCAAGCAGCACCACTCAGTGAGCTTTCGCAGTGGTTAGGTGTTTGGGTTAAAGGCTTTCACACAAAATGGGAGGGTTGAAGCAGAATTTTGGTGGGGTTGAACACTTTATTAGAGGGGTTTAACCCCCCCCCCAAGTAAATCCACCCATGATTTCTAACATTGGGAGTAGTGATGTCCGATTGGCCATGACACAGCCTGTGAGAAATTATGATGAAATTTGCTCATAATATTTGACATATTTTTGCAGTTAGTTAGGAATGTAATAATTGCATTGCTGAATATTGAAACATGACATTTAATTTTGAAGCTCGGATCAATGGTCTTGGTAAAAACAGATCATGTGATTGCAGTATAATTAATTACACTCTCCCCTTGACTTAGTCTAGTAAAATTGTCTGGCATTAGGTAGATTGAAATAATACAGTAAGGCATATCAAGACACATAACACATTGCCACTTGTGAAGGGTTAACATATGTGTATATGATATTTTTGTGATGTAAAGATGTATAATGTATCATGATAATAATGTCATCTTTTATTTTGCAGAAATTATATGTTTAATATGCACAAGAGATGGCACTGAGGCATCAACATGCAGAAAAACATGCAGAACAACAAAATGAATTAGTTAATTATACCATGCATAACAACATAAATAATCATATGATTATGATAACTTTATTGAAGTGTAAATAAGTTTTATAGCAATTAAAATTATACATTTTTGTTTTTTTAAATTTTTTACTGCCAATAATTTTTCAAAAAAGTCAAATACACCCTTCCGGAATGTATTTCACCTTGGCTATCACAGGAGCCTCATTTTCATGTATGTGGCATGAGTTAAAGTCCAATGTCTCAATCGTGAAAATGAGACTCTATATATAGCCAAGGTGACATAATTTCTGGAAGCATGTATTAAAATACAGTATGTTCAGTTTCCAAAGATATGTGTGGCTTGCCAAGCTTGGTACTGTAACTTGCCACCCAGAAAGGAGTGTGTCTTTGTGGAATAAATCTGCAACAAACAAGAGTAGATTAATTATGTAGGTTGTACAAAAATCCACCAGTAACATAATTAGCATATGAATATGATCAAGGTAAACAAAAGAATGTGACCTAACTCCTCAACTTAAACCAGGGGTATCAGAACTATGAGTGCACTTATAAAGGTACATTGCTCATTCAGAGTGATATTTACTGAGAAAACATGTAAGAAAACAGGCCATCCTGGAAATGAGGTTTATGTCTGTTTATAAAACGAGACCTCAGGAGTCAACCTTTTAAACATTAATACACCAGACAGTTCGCACTTTAAAGACCGTCGTAATCCTCGTATATGTGACTGAATATCGATCAAAGCTTCTTAGTTTGTAACCAAATATTTTGCGATTATGAATCACAGCTTGCTAAAATTAGTGAAATAGTGGGAAATTTTACACTTTACCATGTGTATTACATAGGAAGTTGTTTTTATTAACAAATAGAGTGTCAGTTTCATCGTTATGCTTATCATTTTCATGTCAAATAAGGTAAAGTCTAAATATTAAAAAATTGAAATATGCAAATTTGTCTCTTACCCTTTGTATAAAATCCATATTCAAGTCTTTTCCCACATTTCTTGAGATTTTAAATTTACTTGTCGTCTTTCACGGGCGAGAATAACACGTATGGCTTGCATATCTTTGTCCAAATAGTCAAAGGTAGAAAATTTATATCGAAAAAATTTTAAAAACCGATTCAAAACCACGAGAACTATAATATCTGCAAAACTTTTTTTGCAAAAACCAGGGGGGTGTGAAAACGGCCGTGGGCTCAGAATTGAGCCTGGTCAGTGGTACCTACCATGAAAATAAAGTAAGTGTTGTCATGGAAATGGCGTCATTTTCACTCAAAATCCGCCATGTTTTTGGCTTCACTTGGTTGACTGAACGAAGTATAGGAGCAGGTCCTCCAGTTATTATACAGCTCAGTGACCTGCTCCTATACTTCGTTCAGTCAACGAAGTGTCGCCAAAAACATGGCGGATTTTGATGAAAAATGACGCCATTTCCATGA